TTCCCCCCCACACGCAGATAAAAAAAAAAAAAAAAAAAAAAAAAAAAAAAGCTCTTATGTAACCCTGTGGGATTCCTTTTCTGTTAGACTTCCTGGCTCTGTGGAAAGAAAACACGGCAACTCCTGAAGGAGCCCCATGTGGACAGAAAAGCTGTCCCAGTGCCAGATCAGAGCTCCCTATTCTCTGAAAGCACACAGCATGCTAATAATAAGTCACAATAAGGCTTTATTTAGGTATTTAGCTGAAAGTTAGCCGAGAGTGCCATCTCATGGTTTTGATTCTGCAATGGTATTTTCAGTGACAGTGTGGTATGTAGCAGGACAGGAACTTTGTACTGTCAGAAGTGTATGCGGACACAGAAAAGGCGTGACTGTGTTACGGACTGCATCATTTAGACACGCGCAAACAGCTGTTAAATACAGAAAACGTCACTGTAAATATATTTTTTATGCCGTTGTTTGGCGCCCGCTCTAGCACAGCGCCCCTAAACCCACTTTTGACGCCACTGACAGGATCAGTCGATGCATTTTGCAGGTTTTGTTTAATCTGTGACCTTGTGTGTTGGATGTGACGTAAAAAATATGGTCCAGGTTAGAGAGAAAACAAAATGAGCAACATCATAACTTAAGAAATATATCAAACAAATGAACACGTTTTACCTTCAAAAGGACAAATTGCTCACATTAGTAAATGGAGGAGTTTTCAGTGAGGTTTTGAACAAGATTCTCTCTCTTCTTTTTTAGTGTGAAAACAGAAACTCGGAGAAGTGAGGTCTGATTGCATCTGGAATAAAATGCATTATGGGAAACGAACGATCTACTTTTATTTGCAACATACATGGCTGCTCATTTTTTTTAATTACTGTTAAACAAACACACGATGTATAGCAGAGGTGCAAGGAACAGCACAGTGCTAGTAGCAAAAAAGAAACAAAGTTTAAGACTATGACAGCAAGCACATAAAAGTAGGAAATGCTCCAAATATTTAAAACAAAACGATATTTTGTTTGCAAATACAGGTTTAAAACATTTCAGTGAGGATTAATAAAGTCTAAGTTGGTGTGAAAAAGATCGAAACAGGGAGTAAAACTTTTCTACTATAGTACTTAAGAAAAACAATATTTATGACCTCTCAGAATATTTTCACTTGTTGTTGTATTGCTTTAATTTGACATTGAATTATTTGCAGAAATATAAATGTACCCCAAAGAGGGCTGGACAATAAATTATTAACAATATGTATTGCAATAGATCAATATCGAAAGATAATATGTCTGATAAAATATTCAGTACGTAGAATATTGACTGAACTCCTAACCAGAATCGCACAACGTTCTAGAAGATGTAGGCAGAAGACAGACTTTAGCTGCTCAGCCTCTCACTGCTATGCTAGCTGGGTAGCGTCAACTCACTCGCTGATTGGTTACCTAGCAACAACCTGTTGAGTGACTCGTGCAGCTGCAGTTTGGGGTTTGTCACTCTGCCTCGTAGCTGCTAAAAAATAAACAACCGTGGAGTGAAAACTGAATAAAACGGGGAAGAACACGCAACAAGCTTGGCAGTATTTCAGATATTTAAAATAAAACACTCATCAATAACTATTGATATTGACAAGTGTCAACGCTTCTATCGTGATAAGTTTATCCAGTCACATCGTCCAGCCCCAAGTCCAAACAGTTGCTTGTAAATTCCACTTCTCGGAGCACGTAAAATGCCAACCAGCGTTTGTGGTTGTAATTATAAAAATGTGAAAAAGTTTGAGTTCTTTTCAAGATGCTCCTTGTCCTGTAAACATCTGCTGCTTTTAGTGGTAGAAACAGACTTTTCTTAGGTTTCTTGCTGTTGTTACTTATAACTGTGTGATCTGTTTCTCTCCCAGAGCTCCGCCTCCCATTCTGCCTGAGGACCTCCGACCTTAACGACAAACGATGACCTCCCCTGACTCGCCTCCCCTCGTCTCCCCCTCCCCATGTCCGGCGCCTCCCCCGTCCCTGCCCTCGTCCCCCGCTCCCTCGTCCCCGGCCCCGTCCTCCTCCTCCATCCCGGCCCCCCCCTCGCTGCCTCCCACGGGCGAGGTGATGGTGCTGGCTCTGGGCAGGAAGAAGCAGCGCGTGCTGATTGCGCTCTCCATCCTCCCTAACCTCTTCCTGGCCTTCCTGCTCTCCTCCGACCCCCTCATCACACTCTCGCCGCCCCACCACTGCCGCCTGCCGGGCCCGTCGCCCTCGCCGGAGGCGCTGAATGCCTCCCTGCCCTGGGAGAAGGGCGCACGGCCCGGGGAGACCGGGAGCCCGTCCCAGTGCAAGCAGTACGCCAACGGCAGCCAGTCGGCCGTGGTGGACTGCGAGTCCGGGTGGGACTACAATGTGACGGAGGGGCTGAAGAACAACATCGTCACCGAGGTAACGCTTCAGCCTAGCTGCTCAACTGTCAAAGTCTTTTCTTTTAGTTAGTACTTAGGGCTTAAATGCTGAGAAACCTTTTTTTTTTTTTGTTTCCGCCCGTCTCTGCTGCAGAGTCCTGCTGAGCTTGCAGCTTCACTTTCTGCAGCGTTGTTCTAAACTTTGATTCAGCTTCACAAACTTATTTGACCCCAAGGGACAACCGGATAAATCTCTTGTGCCGCAACACAGGAACATTAGTGTTTTCCAGGCTGCAAGGTCAAGTCATGTTTATTTATGTAGCACATTTCAGCAACAAGGCAGTTCAAAGAGCGCTGCGTCGTAAAAACATCATACAGTCGCCATTTATGAAACAAGCAATAAACATCACATTCTATCAAAGGCCATCATCAAAATCATCAAACGTATACAGCATTGAATATCTAAACAGAAGGGGTTTTTAACCTTGATTTAAAGGAATTCAGTGTTTCGGCTGGTTTGTAGTTTTCTGGAAGTTTGTTCCTGATTAGAGGAGCATAGGAACTCAACAATGCTTCTCAGTGTTTGGTTCTGGTTCTGGTCCTGGTCTTGTTTAAACAGGACGACATACAGAACATTCCAGACAGCCTTTGGCTTCCATTCATTTGAAGTACAATAATAAAAAATACATGCGCAGAGCTTTGGTTCTTCCTAAACGGCGAAAAGAAGTTTGCTGTGTTTTTTTTTAGTGCAAGTTTTATTTATTGTGAAAATCTTCCTCTGACTTTGGCTCTGTCATTTATCAAAAATCAGGGAAATTCCTTACATCCTTTTGGTTCCCAAGCAGACTTTCTCTGTGGCGTGGAATGATAATTTTTTACATGATTTTCCTAAATTGATAAATGTTGTCTAAGTTATTGATTCGAATTTACTGAAACATACATAGAGCAAGGGAACAAAGGTGAGTGTGTGCAGTCACTATCTTTAAAATCAGCCACCTGTTTCATGCAAATCATTTTCCTTTAGCTAAGAATATGTAGAAAACTCAAAGTCTCAGTCATTTGGATAAGCTAAACAAAGTTTAATAAAGATGTGACCTGTGAATAATAAAAAACACCTCTAATGATATCAAGAATTACATTTTTGCAAGTTGAAATTTAATTTTAAGATGCCTTGAATTATTGCTGCTTGTGAGAAATAAGCTTAAAATATCTCAGAATCTTGGATAAATTATGGTAAATATACCTGAAACGTTTCTTGTATAGCAAGCTGCTGTTGTTTGCAAAACGGTTTTGACCAGTAAATGCTAAAATGGCTTGCCTTAGAAAGCAGAGGAGATCATTTAGCATTTCACTGTATGAGTAGGATAAAAACCATCAGGCTGTTCAGTTTGTTTAAGATTTGCTGAAGTGCAAAGTGCTCTTTTGCACAGTTCAGAGCTTTTTACGAAAGCTCATTTCATTGTTTGCCCATAATAGCATACAACTTAACAAGGTGGCCTTTCTGTTGGCTTTAAAGCAGATTAGAGTGATTGAAAAAAAAAACAAAAAAACACAACCACATACTTCAACAAAACGTGCTACAAATGAATAGGAATGCCTTTTTTTACAACAAACTGAGCAAGTTTAGGTCCTGTTCTGTGTTACTTTGGTAACACTAAAGCACAAGAATATAATGTGGATAGTCTTAACAGCAGTTCAGCTTTATTTAGATCGTTGTGCGAAGAAGAATTTGAAGGAGCATGTTTGGAATGTCCAAGATGAGAATTTCCATTATTGTAGAGGACGATCCTGATTACAGAGGGAGAGCTGCTGCGCTGATATAAATGGAAACTGAGGCATTAAGTAAAATAAAAGCATACAGGGTAAATAGTTTCTTTAACAGCTTTCCTCTGTGACCTGTTATTAATCATTAATCATCAAGCATTAATCATTTTTGCTTCCCAGCTCTGAGCACCTAAACCTCAAGGACACGGCTTTGTGTCTCCAACCTTTCAGCCGACCTCTCTCCTGAAACTAACTGTAATTACAGCTGCTTCTTTCCCAAATACGTTGCGCAGATCTCTGTAGCTCCCTGTTTGTGAACAATTCTTCATACATTTCTGCTGCATCTGCACCACGCAGCACAACAGTCGGTGTCCGTGCCCTCTGCCCATCACTCCGTTTTTCCATTTCTGACCATGCTGCTGTAAGGAACCCCACCCAGTCCTCCAGTCCACGGTATGAGGGCAGTGTGCTGGTGATCCACCCACACCACTGCAGCAAACGGAAGATTCTCCAAGCGCTGCCAAGGGACGCATTTGGATGCAAAAGCGTCCGTGTTGTTAAAACAGTGTTCACACTCAGGTTTACAGACAGGATGATTTGCTGTCTCTGTGTGTTTGTGTGTGTGAGATCTTTTCCTCCTTCCTGTGCAGCTTGCTTCACTGTGCTGACGCGGGTAGCAGTGTGTTTAAAGTAAGATGGGACAAGCTCCCGATCAGCTCCAGATCAATAAGTATCGCCTGTTTCCACACAGTACAGGCTGTTAAGTTAAGGCTGACTTGGATTCATTTGGCTTTATTCAAAGTCCCACTCACCTTGTGCTGACATATTACGTGTGAGAAAATAACTGCACTTCCGCATAACTCTGTCCTGTCTGAACATTGTTTAACCTTTGATTTCATTTTAACTTGGTGTGCTAAACCTAAGAGAAAAATGTAATTATAGTAAATCTTGACGCCTCGAGATGGCATTTATTGTGACAGAATCGTGGTCTTCATGATGTTGTTGGTTCTCTTTAACAAACTGAGGCCTTCACAGAACAAATGAATTCACGCTGAGATGAAATTACATAAATATGAAGAGAAACAAAAGTAAACTAAAGCCGACTCGGTGATTCTTTGTTTTGGGAGTCATCCACATTGAGCCAAACAGGCTCGGATGTGGCAGCTTCATGCCTGACTGCAGGTTCCTTTCTGCTCCCGCCAAGCCAGTCGGGGGAGTCTCTGAACTCGTTTGTGCTCATTCCTGCTCCGCTCTTGTCGTGCAAAGCATTCCAGGCGCATGAGAGACATGCGACGTCGCGCCGCCCTTTGTCCCAGTGTGCACCGTTGTGATGTCGTTACTCAGCAACAGGACAACTGGTATTATGTGACGGGCCTTTTTCTGTTGCGCCACACGGTTTCCAGTCATGCGAGGCCTCTTAATGTTTAGCCCTCTCCTCGAACTCCCTATAGACCGGATCATCAGAACCGTGTTATCTCCCCCCCCCATCCTCCAGCAGTGCTCAGCTGTAAATGCAAATCAATGGATCAATTTGGGGAGATGAAACTCTGAACCGAGAGCAGAAACCTGGTGTATTAAACAAAGGTGCTTCAACTTTCTATCTCTGCTCGTATGTGACCACACTGCACTTTCAGCACAGTTATTTACCTTTACATTACATAAAAGAATCAGAGCCTTCTGTATTTGCTCAGTGGGTGTTAATCCTTCTTTTGTTGAACTCCAGACCTGCATTAAGTTTGGTTTCACTGCTGTTTTACCTCTTAATCATCAACTACAGCTTTCTGTTTATATGGTGTAGCCATCTCTTGAGACTCTTGATGCTTATTGACTCTGACTTTTCTTAAAAAAATCATAAATACTGGTCCTGACTCAAGCAGATCGTCTCTGACAGACCTCTCTCTCCGTCTGTCCAGTGGGATCTGGTGTGCGGCCAGTACTGGCTGGTTCCGGTGGAGGAGGTGTGCTTCATCCTGGGCGTCCTGACTGGATGCCTCAGCCTGGGCTACACAGCCGACAGGTAAACTTAACAACATTCTCTCACAACCATTTATTCGGATGTGTAGCTCATTTCTTTTAAAGACAATTGGACTTTTGTTTCTTTGATATTTTTTTCCATTCTCTTTTTACTTTCTTTCTCTCTCTCTCATTCTTTGTTTCTTGCGTCACTCAAGTTCATGTACAAGTGAAGGAAGGCAAGGGAATACTTTTGGTTGTTTAGTTTGCCAAACCTTTTGTAAAACTTGGTGGTGGCAGAATCATGCTGCATGGATGCTGGTCGGATTTGATGGGAAGCTGGTTGGAATATTTAAAAAAGAAAAAAAAAAAACTTGCATAAATTTTCCCTCTCCTTACAATTATCCTGTCATGTGCCACAGAAAATCTGAAATAATTTGCATTAGAGCTTGTGATTAAAACAGCACAAATCATGGACTTCAAGTTCTTTCCTCTTTATTTTAATTACTGTAAGAAACTGGAATGTGATGTTTACTAAAGTACTCAAGTAAACCTCACCAATGTGAGACGAAGCAATTAACCCTAAAAAGCCACCAGCTGTGGCTGACTTTTTTTTTTTTTTTTTAAGCTCCACCCACACTCCCACAATGCACTGCTGGCCTGCATCCACTGTGTCACTGGGAGAGCGATGATGTCATTTTAATCAGCTAATAGCCCTCATTCATTTCCTGACCAGCTGAGCGTTGCATGCGTTTGTTAATGCCAGTAATTTAATGCTGCCTCCTCAGGGCTCCCAACGCAGAGCCTACAACAGGAGCAAGAAGGTGCCAAACCGCAAATCAGCGAAACATCGGCAAATTATCACAATGATTTATAGTCAGGGTTGACTAGTTCTCCTTCTTTAGTTTTCAAGAAGGTATTTGTCTTGAGGATAAACAGTTCTCACTTAAATCAGCTCAGTACACAAATATGAGCTGTTTTGTTCTACAACATTAAAGGTTTAACTATGTTAGTAGTTACGTGTCTCAGCTTTGTGTCTCCGTGGTTCTGCAGGCTGGGCAGGTCCAAGACCCTGCTGATCTCTCTGACTCTGTCGGTGGTGTTTGGGGTGCTGGTGTGCGTCTCCCCGTACCCTTCCATCTTCATCGTCATGCGCTTCTGCCTGGCTGCTGCCAGCGCAGGGGTCTACCTAACTCTGTACATCGCCCGTAAGTATACCCAGTTATTGACGTATCATCCAAGTTATATGCAGCCAGACATGCATTTCTACATACAAAAAGCAAATAATCCAGTGGCTCTCACTATGGTTTTTTTATTTGTTGACAGCAGTAGGAGGCTTTTTTCTGTTTAACGGGAACTGCTTTTGGGGCTGGTTGTAAAAACTCTGAAAACGTCACAAATTTATGAGGCTTAATAAGCTATGGAGACTTGTGACATGTAAATAATTGCTAACTAGAGCATAATTAATCCATCTCACCAGCCATGGTTAAAGTTTCATTTACTCTTGATGTAATACTCCATATTTTGTTACACTCCAACCTGAATTTTTGGGGGATTTTAGATCATAGACCAACATAATGTGGCATGTAGTGCATAGTTATGAATTGGAAGGACATCTATACATGGGTTTTCCTAATCTTTTCCTAAAAAAAAAAAAAAAAAAACTGAAACGTGTGGCATGCATTTGTATTTGGCCCTTTTTACTCTCGTATCATAAAATCAAATGGCACCTAGCAAGCTACAGCGGTCCACCTAAGCTGGGAAGGTAACTCTAGAGGAGCTGCAGATATCCAGAGCTTAGGTGGGAGAATTTGTCGATATGGCAACAAGAAAAATCAACAATACAAAAAGAAAGCCATAAGACATCCTATTTAAGGTGGGAGTATCATGCTGTGGGAATGCTTCTTCAGCAAGGATAGAGAAGCTGGTTGAAGCTGATGAGGAAATGCTTGGAGCTAAATGCAGGACAATCCTGCAAAAATACATGACACTGAAGTTCAGTCAAACTCCCATCACTTGGTTTACATTAAAGCATGTATTAGAATGGCCCAGTCAAACTCCATACCTGAATACAATTAGAATATGTGGCACAGCTTTTAAATTGATGGGAATAAACTCGTCTGATCCACTTTAATTGATGTGTACAGCTGATCAATGACTTGATGCAGCAAAAGGGAGAGTCTACAAAAAATGTAAAAGCATGCCGCACTTCTCAGATTTTTTCTAATAAAAATCAGTGAAAGCAACGAATCCTTCCCTTACATTCCACAGCTTTGTCCTGCTTCATACGAATGCACCACATCAAATCCCCATAAAGTTTGTGGTTACAAAGTGACAAAAAGGGAAACGGTTCAATGGGTGTGAATACTTTTATTATTATTAATTTAAAAAAATTTTTTACACATCGGTCAAACAAGCAAAAAATGGCATCCTCATGTTTGCCTGTTTGTAGCAGTGAATGCTTTCATCCAGCTCAGTCTGGTGTGTCGGCTCAGACTCGCCTAGTTAAATCTCCATAATTAGCTTTTAATTGGCGCTCGGAACTGGCGTCAAAACACCGAATTTGTAAATATCAGCGTGCAATTACTCGGCTGGTTTAACACGCACAGGGAGTGGGACGCATTTGTAAGTCAAAAAGTGAACCGTGGGGAAAAAAATAAGCATCTCAGAGCAGCGGAAATCGGAAGCAGTGATGTTTTCTCGCTCGGCAGGTCTGGAGCTGTGCGAGCCGTCGCTCAGGCTTGTGGCGACCATGCTGGCCGGGTTCATGACCGTGGCGGGGGAGCTGCTGCTGCTGGCCGTGGCCCTCGGCTGCCAGTCCTGGAGGGGCCTGCTGGGAGCCGGGGCGGCTCCTCTGACGCTCTTCCTCAGCTACGGGTACGACTGCTCGCCCATATTGATAAATCGTTGAGTCTGTATTAAAAGGACCCGTGTCCTACAGCCAGCTGGCTTGCAGAAAGCTCTGTCAGGTTGTATCGATCTACTCCTTGCTCGCGTCAAGACACATTAGGACCACTTCATTCAATGGGCCAAGTTTCCAGCAAGCCCTTGCCGCGCCTCCTAACCAAATTAAACGAGATTATCGGCAGATTTGCGGCAATAATCCTCAAATTTTTTAATAAGAAAGGATTAAAGATTTGCACCACTTGCTGACTTGTTTATTTCTTTGGCTCATGGAATAAATCGGTGGCGCAAAAGCTCCCCGGCTTTCAAATAATTCCGTTTGAGGCTGAAGGGTGATTATGTGTTGGGTTTCCCCCTGCTGCAGCGTTCCCGGTGTGTTCCCAGAGTCCCCTCGCTGGCTCCTCCTGTCGGAGCGATCCGCGGACATGAACGCGTTCAGCGAGAGGAGGAACTCCAACAGAGACCTGAGGGACGACGAGAGCTTCACAGGTTTGTTTACAAACTCGCCTCGAAGTCTGGTGATGTGAGCCCGTGTTCAGTTTACGTACCATTTCACTTTTCATTTTATTTCATTTCATTCACTCAATAAATATGAGCAGCTGAAAGGCATCGGGAATGAAAAAGAGAAGAAAGAAGTATATACTTCTAATATCTGCTCCCTATTCACACAAAGAGAAGGTTAGCTATTGAACTCAGAAGACTATTTCAGACTTATTTGAAATGCATCGAAAATACACAACAAAATATCAGCTTATTCAACAGCTTATTGCTTCATCATAATAATGTTCAGATTTCTTTTAAATGCAGAAAGAGCTTTTGATTGTGTTATCTCACTGTCAAGATTGTTCTTAGTAGTGTAACATTTTTATTAAACCATACATATTTTCTTTTCCTTTTTACAAATATAGTTTCGTTTGAAAATAAAAAGCACTCTTTGTTTACATTTTAATATATTTTACTCCATCGATTCATTAAGATTCAAAACAATTAGGTGTATAAATATTGGTTTTGTGCGATTTCTGTATCCACTTATTTCAAAGTATTTACATTTATTACTGAATGTGGCATTTTTAAGTTATGATTTCAAAATGAAAGTCTGTATGGTTTAAAGTTGTTTTAGTGAGATGATGCCAGAGAAAAGTCCAGGAGTTTTGATCTGAGATCTGCTGTTTTGCTTCTCTGCAAATTGTTTCTGCTTCCTTACAGCTGCTACATTATTCCTCTATTTATGCAAAATGACAAATTCAGCTGTGTGGACGGTTCAGCTGCAGGCTGTCCAAGCAGAATGCCTGACTAATATCACCTTTTTATGCCTTCTTTTCCACAAAAACCAGACTGCCAGAAATAAGCCTAATATAATGGAGGTTTATTTTATATATTTGTCTGAGGCTTTGCTACATAATCACATTAATACATGTCATAGATAACATTGTCAAAACTTTAATAATCAGTGTCACATTCACAGCTGCAGGAATAGTTGCTAATTTTATGTTTAAAACAGAACCAGTTAAATAATGTTTTAGATATTTTTTTATGTAAATATGCAGTGAATGCTAAGTTATAATCAAGGATTTGCTAAACGCATTTGCTTCCTGCCTTAAAATGCAGCTATAATGAGCCATAATGACATACTGTTGCTGCTGAAAACAGCCTAAGTCAGGCTTTATTTACATATAAACATGTTTACAGGATAGAAGCAGATGTTTCCATTATAGCTTCTGTTTTGTTAGCTTAGCTCTGACTTTATCGTTCTTATCCTCCACAAACCTCATTGCTTTATTGTCTTAGTAGATGGGAATAAACTGTATTGTCAGTAATTATATATGGGAGTTATGTTTTGGTAACTCAAACAAGTGAAACTGCTTTTTGATTTGTGCGGCATGAGGAAATTAGTTTAGCCCTGTGTGTTTCCTAAAACAAAGATGGAGTCAGATTCATGTTTTGTCTAGCATGTGACATAAGAAATGAAAAAAACAAAAAAAAAAAAAAAAAACAAACAAAAGATCGAAATGTAGGTAGTTTTATTCATTTATTTATTTTTTTCTAATAGGATCCTTGTTGAATAAATATGTGTTGAAGAAGAATTAGTGGTAAAACTATGCCACAGTAGCTGTGCTAAAGAAATCTCTGCCATTAATTCACAACAAATCTTTGTATACAAACATGAAAAATTGTCTAAATATATCTGAGAACTCTTTGTATTTGAGAGAAGTGGGACATTTTAATGTATAAAATGGGTAGGAACCCTGATTTGAACTAAAAATGATGTCTATATAAATTATTAGTGGAAACATGCACAGCACTCAAAACCATAGTCACTTCCAACATGACAGAGACATTTTTCTATCAGTGACATTTCTAAAAGCAGAATAAGTGCACTCATGCTGTGCAGCATAATTATTCTGCATAAGGGTCTTCCTGTTAAAAAGGCATTTTCCTTTCCACTGTCGCCATGTGCATCATTGGTTTGACTAATTGCTGAAAAGTTAATGCCGCAATGAAATCAGTTATTCACAGAACAATTAATACTCCGTAGTGTGACGTTTTTATTATCTTTTTACTGTAGTCTATTATTTTTTTTTTCCCTGTTTTATCTTATTTCACCCATTGTAAAGCACTTTGATTAAACTACTGGTTATTGTAAATATTACTATTAACGGTCCTCTGTCACCAAATGCTCATCCAGGAATTTTTCCTACTAAATCAGTGACTCGGTGCAACAGACTGGGTTTACTTCAACAGAAAACTGACAGTCCTTAAATATTTATCAGTTTAAAAAAAAAACATTTTCCCCTTTTTAAATCGGTTAAATTTTTGTAGCTTTGGCGTGTATTTTAGGAAGGCAGGGGTTGTACAGTACGGTTGGACTTTGATGGTTTTGGTCCCGTTGTTCCGCAGAGCTGGACTCGGAGCCGGCGCCCTCCTCCCGCCCCCACCTGTCCTTCCCCGAACTTTTCCACAGTAAGAACATCTGGAAGAACATCTGCGTCCTCGGCTTCACCTCGTAAGTCACCCCGCACTAATTTAGCGCCGGGACAGTGTTTTGTGTCAGCGCAGCGCTTTGTGTACAGGCGTGCTGCAGTCTCGTATGTCATCCCTGCAGCCTTGTGATGGACTCTAAACCTGCGTGGACGCTCACTCTTCATTCCCCCCCCATGTCCTCTCTCCTCAGATTCATCTCTCACGGCATTAGTCACTGCTACAGCTCTTTCCGTGGTGACGTCAGAGGCACCGCCCCCAGCTTCTACTGGACGTACCTGCTGTCCGTGAGCGCGGGGGGCGGGGCCTGGGTGCTGCTCTGGGCGACGGTGGACAGGTGCGGTCGCCGTGGCATCCTGCTCCTGTTCATGACGACGACGGGCCTGGCCTCTTTGATTCTCCTGGGACTCATGGAGTGTAAGCTGGTTTTTAGAGGGCAGCGGGGGGCTTTGTCTTGTTTTCTTTTTTTTTATAATTGTTATTTTGTATAAATCTACACTCAAACAGGAGAGACTATTAATAGTCCAACAAGGTGGAAACAGGATCTTTTCATCTCCTGCTGCTAGGGAATGATTAAATGAGGCTTATGTTGGGATTAAAGTCCTACCTCTAATGATGGATATTTCATTTTAGCCCACATTCACCTGCAAGATCAAACTGAACTTCATCCATTATGAAAAGGATAAACAGCACACCAGTTGGTTCGTGGAAAAGTCCAAACTATACACATTGTTTTTCCATCACATTGTGGAAATGCACATTTCAGAATCTGTCTCCCCCTAGTGGCTGGTAAATAACACATCTGGTTTATGTAGGACACTGCAGTGAGAGCAAAGTCAAAGCCGTGTCAGAGGCTGCGCTTTAATCACTCATCAACAGCGAACAAGGTTCTGATTAGACTGCTGGGTGGGTCTTTGCTCCTTTACAAGCCGAAGGAAGTCGAGCTGACCGAGTCGATTCAATCGCATGAGACGCATCACCTTCACGTTGTCAACACTTTCTCTTCTCCTCCATCACAGATCTCAGTGAGACGGCCATCACGGTTTTCTCAGTGCTGGGTCTTTTCTCCTCCCAAGCCACTGCATCGCTCTGCATCCTCTTCACCGCAGAGATCATGCCCACCGTCATCAGGTAACAAGCACACTAGCAGAACACTTTCCAAGCTAAGAGCATTAGAAATGCAGTAAGTCACGAGGGAGCAGAGGATATGTCGTGTCAATAGGGACCAGTATAAAAATGCTTGAATTTCAATTAGGTGTTTTCAAAGTTTAGAAAGTGGTGGATTTCTATTTAAAGTCCTTGAAAGATGTTCAAACTACACAGTTCTGTAATACAGGGCAATTGAACTAATTCAGATATTTTCAAAATACAAAGACACAAGTTTCAAACAATCTCTAAAAAAAGTGTTCTCGCTAAGTTTTCTGGCGTTTAGCAAATAGAAGCAAGATATACGAACCTGTGTGGATTACAGGAAATCCTAAAAGTATTGAACACTTACTGTGTCATCTTGCCAACCCAGGTGTATGCAGCTAAACTTCAGTTAGAGCCAATAATGTCACATGACAAATTGAAGAAAAGCAACTTGTACTTTTTGAAAAATTTCCACTTAAGATTGTTTTTTTAAGAAACTCCTTTTTTGCTACTTTAGAGTTTTTACATGTTATTTGTGGAAACTTGTGGAAAAATGGGTAAAAAAAAATATCCCTAGTAGGTTTAGTGTCATTGTGGAAATTCATTGCTATTATTTCTTGAAATGACAACAAAAAATAGCCAAAACCTAAATTTATTATCTTAGCCATATTTAAAATCATCAATTACTTCTTTACCATTTTTTGTTAAAGTTATATAGAGCCAGACCTCTGCTTCAATCTGTCAAAAAAATAAAAAATTGATCCAAAATGAAGGCGTTGAGGATGAGTGTGTGTGTTGGTGTGTGTCCAGGGGCACCGGCGTGGGCGTGGTGCTCGCCCTGGGCTGCGTGGGCCGCCTCAGCTCCCCGATCATGGACCTGCGGAACCACTACGGCTACTTCCTGCACCACGTCATCTACTCGTCCCTGGCGCTCCTGGCCGTGCTCTCCATCCTGCTGCTGCCCGAGAGCAAGAGGAAGCCGCTGCCTCAGACGCTGGGCGACGGGGAGCAGTACCGGCGCCCCCCGCTGGGCCGGAGGAGGAGGGACAACGTGCCGCTGCTAGCCACCCCAAACCCAGAGACATAAAAGAGAAGGCTGCCGCAGCGCCGCCACGCAAACAGATGCCCGTCTTTCGTGTTTGTTCGCAGGAGGAGAGGGAGAGAGACGTAGCAATATGGAAACAAACCGGAGGACGACTGGAGATGAAAAGGGCTGTTACGGACTTTATGCTTCCTAACATATCGCACTCTGTCATTCCAGACGCAGACAGACTGCTTGAGCTGCCTCAGACTTCACATCTCTCCGTTTTTTTTTTTCTTTTTTTCCGAACATTTAGATTTACTTCTGAACATTAACAACATCCACACACATCCAGGAAGCTCTTCATTTTCTGTCATGAGACACACCAGCATTCAGCTACACCTCTGTGTCTGTGTGTCTGTGGTAGAGGCTGCATCCTCCGGCTGCAGGCGGCAGTCATTTGTTACTGTTCCTATTTTTTTTATGTATTTGATGTGGGTGAGAAGACAAAAAGCGCTCAGAAGTGTAGAAAAATCAAGGTTAATTTTTTATTTTTTTATAAAATAAATATCCGATCTGGCACTGGAGCCTGATGGGGAACAGCAGCTGTAACAGGAAAAACAACAACAAAAACACATTGTAAATACTCTTAGGTTTTAATTTCTTTGGGGCATCTGAGTTTTGTTTTTTAATGCCAGACTCGGTGGCCGGAGCGATCCAGTCTGCTATGTAGCGTGGCGACGAGAGAAGAGCACTTTGAATATTCTGCTTTGTAACATTAACGAGTTAATCCGACCAAAGTCTTCAAAGACGGGCCTGTGAACATAAATCACATATTCTGATCAAAAACGTCTCAGTAAAGATGGCAGCAAAGTCTGGCCTGGAGCTAGAACTATTTATACTATTTATGTCGTCGTTAAGTTTAATCAGTAATTTATCCTGACACTTTGAGTCTTTATTATGAAGCTGGATTGGATCCGTGTAAGCCTTCCGTTTATCCCGGATGTCAACCATGAAACATTCCTGTCTGCATGTTTGGAATCACAGAAGGGCTCGTTTTCTCTGCATTTCCTCCGACTTCATACCTCTAGATGAGTAGCGTCGGCTGTCAGCTGATGCTACACGGATACAAACAAACCGCAGTAGAGGTGTTGATCATGTTTATATTGGCCTTTACTGGAGACAGAAAAGTTGTCTTTTTGGGAAACAGGGCCCAATGAGCATGCTCCATGTTGGGGAGCTGAAGAGGGCCCCTGAGCTCCAAATTAACCCCTCATTCATTCCCTTGAATGCCCATTGACTGGGCTCCGACCAAGTCTGGAAAAGTCTGGAATTTGATTTTATTATTTTCCTGGTCTGAAAAAGTGTCGAGAAAAAATATATTTTCAGATTTAACTTGCTTTTCCGTTGCCTAAATGTTCTCTTTTTTCCTTGTTTCCTCCTCTCCTTTGCCCTCATCTGCTTTCTTTTTTCCTACCTTTCTCTTACTTTCTTCCTTGTACACTCCCCTCATTTCTTCTTTCCTTCATTTCATCTTTTTCTACCTCTTATCCTTCATTACGTCCTTCCTTATTTTCTTTGTTACAAAGCCTTCTTTTTTCCCTTCCTTCCTGTTTCTGGTTTTTGCATAAAGCTTATAGATTCAGTAAAGGTATCTGCCATGAACACATTGAATTTTATATTTTTAAAATAGTGTTAAATACTGACGACTTTGCAGGTTTGAGACAGGAAAAGTACGGTGTTTAATCTGTCTTGTGGGAAAGAAATATCGCAGGCAGGATGATTGAAAGCAGGTAAATCTGTTTTGCAGATTTTGCTGGAGCGAACCGACTGATTATTTTTCTTCGTATGTGAAGGATAAGGAAATGGGGGGGTTTAATTTGGACTTTGAAGTTAAAGAAATGCAAGTTTGTTGATGACTTTTTTTTTATTTCTCTGTATGTTGCACTCAACAAGTCTAACACTTATACTCTAGTTCTTATCATTAATTAACTTGGCTTGAATATAATTATGTCTGACAACACTGGCTGATCTGTTCAATGATGGAGTGTGATGCAGTTAATTCTGATTTTATGTAAATTAAAACTGGTTTAATAAAAACAAGCGCTGAATTCAGACTTTATCGTTATGAGAACATGAATGTGTCTGTTTAAATGTAGAGGAAGACAAAAAAAAAAACCCGGCAAAAAGTAGTTTGTAAATAGTGAATAGACTGCTGGTCACTGGAAACTACTCCCTTAAAATAATCTGACCTGTTTGTGATAACTCTGACGTCTTAGCGCCATTGTAGATTTGGACAGAAAATTTCCACCAAAAAACAAACAAACAAAAAAAACCCCCATAAATTTCTGAGCTCCCAAAATTGACTTTTGAAACTCAGAAATGTCCAAGTTTTTTTTCTAGAAAATTTTTGGTGGAAATTTACTTCTTTAACTGAGAACATGAGCCACTGACCTTTAGCAAATATGGTCTGTTACGAAAAGTTTTCCTGAAGACAAGAAGTAAAACAAACAAAAAAAGTACTACTATTTAATTTTGGGGGTAAAAATAAAGACATTTTGGGAGCACCGACTATATGTTAAATTGACAGTTTGGTTTCATCTGCTTAATTGTTGAAGATCTTTCACTGAAGGATACTTCAAACTTTCCTGTAATGTTGAATGAATAATCTGCCTGGGGAATTCTGCAGGGGGCTTTAGACTGAATTTCAACATGGACAAGCTAGCTTGGTTGCTTTTTTTTTTTTTTTAGTCTGCTTCAGCAAGGAAACGTTTGGGGAACTATGGTTAGTATTTAGAGAATGTTTCCTGACAGTCATTATTGACAATCACTTTCAGGGAAAACGATCATTCAGGAAACATTCTTTGAGCAATCAACCAACATTTCCCTAACAAACATTTTTCAAAGATTACTTTTAGCCTTTAGCAAATGCTTTCAGTAAATTTTAGCCTCTAGAACAGGGGTGTCAAACTCCAGTCCTCAAGGGCCTCTGTCCTGCAACTTTTAGATGTGCCTCTGCTGCACCACACCTGAAAAGAATAATTAGGTCATTAGCAAGGCTCAGGAGAACCGATCTACACAGGGAGGAGGTAATTAAGCCATTTCATTCCACTGTTTTTTACCTGTGGCACATCTAAACACTGCAGGACAGCGGCCCTTGAGGACTGGAGTTTGACACCGCTGCTCTAGAAGCTACTGAAACCCAAGAAGAAACCTTTTATGAGCATTGGAGATACTAGCTGTAGGTTACAGCTGACTTTACGGGAACATTAAGTGGACATTTCCCAAACGTTCATCGAACCTTCACAAAGCTTTCTTCGTTTTCAGTCAGTCACAGTCCTCAACTCTCCCCAAACTCACGCTGCTCTGCCAAAACATGACTTTTCTAGCTCATTTCTGTTATTTCCTTATTTTTCACTTGCATACAGCATCAGCTAGACCAATCAAACTGATCAATCTTATTTAACTGCCAAACCAACTTGGAAATGATAGTGCCTGTAAGAAACTAGATAAAAATCTAGCCTCTATAAATGAACACGCTTTCCCCAAACCAAGCTGTTATAAGCATTTAACGTGAAGACAGCTGAGCTCCATGGAGACGCTTTTGAGGGTTGGTGTTAAGTGAGGTCACAGCTGAACCCGAGGTGTGAATGCTTGACATTCAAGGAGCTCCTCAAGTGGCATGTTGAGGTCCACAGAAGAAATCCTCTTACATGGATTCCAATTTGCACCTCTCATCCTTGGACAGGACAAGGCTGACAGATATATCAACCTCTCCCTCATAAAGTTAATAATATTGTCAATGATTTGTTACATTTTAGTTTTTTGTCTTATTGGTCATATTACATGAGCAAAGTTTTTTGTATTCTCATAGGTTTGGCTGTTTAGGCCGTTTTTAATATTAGACATATAGGCTTCATCTGTTAGCAGGTGGAAGTGGCGCAAACCCTAACAGTAATTAGATTTCATCTGGCATAATTAAGTCAATGATGTTGATAATTATTTATTATTTATTCAAAAAGCTGAAAGATTCGTAATTACAAATATAGTCATCTTTGATTAAAGACAATGAGGGACATTATTCTTAACGCAACAGCCCTTATAACTGTTCTAAGAATGTATTTATTTATTTTTGCAATAGCCACACAAACATTTTCTTTAAGTGAACAGTTCCAACTCAAAACATTTATTTTTTTTTAACATATATACAGTCTTATTCAGTAAAATAGAATATGCATTGTGAAAAGGTTGTCTAATCAAAATGGTCTTTTCAAAATGACTTTGGCTTTGTTCAAGTATTTCACTTTCCCCAATCTCATGTCCCCTAAGACGGCAACAGGTGGGCAGACGTTGCTTTGTTCGTGCCACCTGACTCAGCCTGTCTTTGAAGACAAAGGACGTCGGCCGTGGAGACGGTGCGACGACAGCTGAGAATGGATTTACACACCGGTATGTTCCAGCCTGAAGGTTAGAGCGACTCGTCTGAACAGAAGGTGTGAAATCAGAGACACGGCGAAGAGACGGACAAGGGTAAGGTGGCCGACACGGGCTGGCATACGTCTGCAAAACACAACCATGTTATTAGAGAGGCTGTGCACGTTGCCTTAAGCATCATGGTCTGTGTAACGCTGAGGGGACAAAATGAAGGTTACCATGGGTTCAGGAAAAGTAGCCACATCATTTTTCCACAATTGTTTCATTGCAACCACTTATACTGACGTATTTTTTGGGGGGGATTTTATGTGATAGATCAGTGGAGAAAGTGGAAGGAAATTGCACATTTAGGCTTTTAAATATTTTATAATTCAAAATTTGTTAAATTTGTTTAACCCATTTTACTCTGATACCCTTGATTGCAATCCTATGCAAGCAATTGCCTTCAGATGTCACCTATAATCAGTAAACAGTCTTTGATTTAATCTCAAAATAAATCCGATTGTTCTGTGAAGGTCTCAGAGATTTGTTGGTAAACAAATTGAGAGGCCCACTGTAACTGGAGGAGCTGTAGAAATCCACAGCTCAGGTTGATGGGACAACTCTGTCATGTGATCCACAAATGCATTAGAAGATGTGAAAAGATGTGTTAAAAAGGTCGTTTTCGTAAAGAAAACACATCCAATTTGAACAGGGAATATACACAAACAAGACCAAAAGTTGAAATTTGGACCTGCATGCAAAATATTATGCGACATTACAACCAACACTACAAATGCCCCAGAACACAGTGGAGATATTTTAAGATGTACTGGAAGAAATGGTGCAAAATGTAATATATTTAGTCACTACCATCGCAGAATCAGATTAAACACTGGTTTTAATCATAACATGAGAAACCGTTCAGTCGATGAACTCCACCTGACCACTCCCACCGACACGCTGCATCCCCCACATGCACACCTCTGCCCTCACCTTCCTGCTGGTTCAAACAAAGCACCAGCGTGCAAATGGCTGCCCTAAAGAGACAACAGAGGTTGCTGTACAAGTCCCGGCTGAGAAAGAAAGCTGCTGGCATGAGGAATATGTCAGGAACAATAAGTCTGAAAGAGTGACACTTCTGTAAGAGGGGTAACAGGCAGACAGGAAGTTAAAAGACGTCTCAAAGTGTCTGTGAGCTATCAAGTGATGAAAGAGGCTTGTTAAACAGAGCAGAGGTCTTGGAGTAGAAGATTCTTTCTCCAGACATGTCTGAGCCAAATTATCACCCTACAGGCAGGCTGACACTCTGCATGGCGAAGAAATAACTCTCTTGATCCTTGAGTTGACAGTCAACACTTCTGAATTTAAACATTTACCTTAGCTTATCTTCTCTGTACTGGGGCTAGAAAAAGGGAAGAAAACTTTAAAACGATTTAACTCACTCAAACAAAAAAGCTGTCTTATTAAGTAATAAATTATGACGGAGACGAACAAAACAAAACAAAACAAACAAAAAAAAACAAACAACCATCTTCAGCTTCCAAAACAAACATGGAGGTGTTATTTTTATCTGCACGCACGCGCGCGGTCACAAAGGTTGCTACAGCGGAGGAGGACGAATGACGCCTTCGTTCACTTAAGCTCGACAGAAGGAATCCTGAAACTATTTCACAGGTTTATCTTTGTCCTCAAGGCTAAATGGAAGGAAACAATGCGGGTCCAACAAGATGCACGGTCGGTCAGTGTGCAGTTACAGCATGAAGTAGCTGTCAGAGCCCGGGGGCGTGTACGGTGTACGGCGGCCCCCCCCCCGGCGACAGCTGCGTCTCTGATGGCGCCTTTGGTTGGAAAGTGTGAACATAACGGGAAAAACGTCTCAGAATGTAGGTTGAAATTGGTTTTCTTTTTAAAAACACAACTAATGTTGAGGATAATGTTATCCCTTATAAAAAGGGGAGAAATACAAGAGAATAAATTATCAGACGAAACCAGTGCGCCTTTACTTGTTCTTGTATTATTTGTAAAGAGCGCACGAGTCCCCCTAGTGGACTCTTGACTATGGCGCCAATGCACTGCTCTTTCAGACAAAGGGCTATATTTCTTGCACACACCAAATCAAATGAAATTAGGATAATCAACAATTGGATCTAACATTAAAATGGTCAAATTAATATACCCTGCAACAATAACGACAGGGAAGCAGTCTCGCGAGCCGGGCCGGCAGACGTATTTATCTGCTGTGTGACACTGTGCCACTCGGCCTTTGTTCTCCGTCTCAGTGCGCCATTGACATTTGCACTGGCTTTGTCAAAGTCACGTGGTTCATCTCACAGCTAAAGGAGGCGAAAAGACAACACGGTCTCCTGAACGCCTCTAAGTCTTTTTTGTTTTTTTAAGGCATTATGCTCAGGAATCCTTTGGCTGACACCCAGAGGACTGTCACAAGGTGTGTGCTGATGTTATTTGAGAAAACTAGACCCTGAAATGGGATTAAATCAATTTGCTGCATTATCCTTTGGCAAATGGAGCCGGTCCATTAACCCCCAACGTTAAATACTGTGGTTTAATACACTTTAATAAGGTAACTGTGCTTACATGTCACATATTTTTAAATAGATACCTGCTGTGTGTTTTAATTAATACTACTTAATTTTCATCTTCTGATGCAAAGTGAACCTCCACTCAAGTCTCAACTCTTTTCAGCTACATTCATCTTCCTAACAAGTGTAACTTCCTGTTGAAGAAAGGCATTCCCAGAATATGATGCTGTTCCTACCAGAAGTCACCATGGTGATAATGGTGCAACGTTGGCTTTCTTTGCACTCTAAAACTTTGCTTCTGTATTAGCTGACCAGATCCAACCCATCTACATGTTTCCTCTGCCCTTTATAGCAAACTCTACATGAGAATTTTCATATTATGCTCTCCTCAAAGCAGTAGTGCAGGGTTCAGTCCCTGACCTGAGACCTTTGTTGTCTGTCTGCGCCCTTCTTCCCTCTCAGTTCATTTCCTGTCCTGTTAAATAATGAACACTAGTGCCAGAAGATGTTAAAAACAACATTACTTCCTCTTCAGAACTCTTCAGTTAAAGTCAAGTTTATGGAGTAGGAGACTAATTAGAGTCCTTTCAACAGGCTCTCCCATCTGCGCTATGGATGTTTGCAGTCCTCCAAAGCTTTAATAGATCTAATGGCTGCTTCTCTGATTAATGCTCTCCCTACTTGTCCAGTGCAGTAGGTTGTGCCATACTTTTTTCCATCTTCAGATGATGGATTTGACCGTGCAATCAGCTGCAGCGGATTTTATTTAGGGGTGTCAGAGTTAAGAATAGAAATGAATACCAGACTTTTATGGAAAGGATGTTGAAATTCATCTAAGATGTGTGCATTAAAGGTGTGGCATGTAACTTTTATAAAAATGTTTTTTGCTATTTTATTATTATTATTATTATTATTATTTGCATATTTCTTAAAACCTTCACTGTGTACTTACAGTATATTATGAGACAGAAATTCTGTGAAAAAATTGAGCTCCTCTGATTCCTCCTGTGGTCCTTTCACAGATTATCTGTCTCATACTACCAGGACTCAGTGACGGTTTTCACAAATATCTAAAAGGAACGTAAATTTCTAAAGGTTTCCTACTGCTGCTGCAAATATGCCAGACTCAGACCAAGACAAACTGTCTCGTTTATTCACAAAACAACTCTTAACTGGCCCTAAATGTTCAGCCTCTGCATTGGTTTGAAGCATGCATACAGGCTGCATATAGAAGGGCTGAAGAGGCTCGAAAAGCTAGTTGTTGAAATCCGTGAAAGGGACAAAAGACAGCTGAGAATGAGAGCCTCGGTGTGCTGAGGAGTGCGACACGAGGAGCAGACAGCCAATTAACGAGACCCACGAGGTTGCTGAACTCCCAGCGTGTGAAATCCTCAGTGTCACAGGGACTCGTGTGCTTCTTCAGGGGGTCTTACGGTGGTCGGCTCAATAAACACCTGACTTAAAGATGTCTTCTGTTAACGTGACGCTTATTATCAGCATTGATCCTGCTGCTAATGATACGGAGTTCACTGAGAAGGTGGTGGATATCCCGTCTGAGGTGAATGTATTTATTTCCAGCACGGTACGGAGAGCTTTGCAAGCAGGCAGCTGTCCCACCCAACCTTTTATTGTGGACAGAGGAGGGCACACTGTCCAGAGGGAGGCAAGGAAGGTCTGCGAGAAAGAATCCAAGCCAAAGTATTCACAAGGTTATCTTTGTCCTCCAGGACAGTTGAATCCTCTGACAATAGGGACTCTGACAGTGTGATGTTCAACCTTATTGTAGTGTGAGTGAACGGTTCTTTTTCCGCTTTGGAAAAACTGTAAGAAAACATCAACATGGCTTTTTCTGCACATTTCCCCCATACAAGCAAATATTTATTGAGTTAATCGGCAAAAGAATTTGTAACAGCAAAAAAAAAAATAAATATTTTGCACATTTTAGACAAAAAAAAAATCCTGAAAATTTGTCTCGTAAATACCACTCAGCCTTCAGTGTTGGGCAGGAATCTTTTCTGAGATTTCAGTATTTTTTATTTTTTTTTGTCTTCCATCTTTCAAGAAGGTCAGGACCGAAATAGATCCTGATTTAGAACCTTCTGGTAGTCTTTACGTGCAACAGCCAATAGAAACGTGGCAGCTATGACTGTCCACACCTTCTTATTTCTAAATGCAGATGTTCCCTTTTGTGCTCTTGCTCTGTCCTTGTAGGGGGGGAGCTGCTTCAGCAAAGCACTGCCTACTGGATGTATAAAAAGAGGAGATCCAGAGAAGCTGCAGCAGCAAAGGACAGAAACAGCACACCTGCCGGTCAGTACGCCATCATTTCATCACTAATCCTGTCAGTGACTCAAAATCTGATGTAACATTTCACCTTTTAAAGACTCATCCAGCAGAACAAGTCAGCTAAAGAGAAGAGGAGCATCAAACAGGTAAAGAAGGTCATAAGTTCCCCAATAGAAAATAAATGACTTTAGGGTAATTCATCTGTCTAGTTTTTGGTGCAGCAGTCTATATTTCACATATGATGATAATAATAATAATAATAATAATAATAATATAGTTTTATTTCAGCCGTAAACAGGGAAAAGTCAATAACAACAGCGCTACTAATCTTAATAACCAACAATAACCAATAGTGCTGCTAAAGAAACATAGGAGAAATGAAGATTAAGAGTAAAGAAAATGATCAAATAAACACGGAATATGTGAAATTAATTAAATTATCAAGTGTGACTTGTTGATGCAATAAGAGCAGGAATCATGGGAAACAATGTTGATCACAGTAAGTAAATGATGAACTGATTAAGTAACCAATCAGCTGAATAATCGATCAGTCAGTCTAATAAAATAACTAGTATTTTAGGGATGGTTGTATTTGAAATTTGCATTTAATTTCTTTGCAGTTCTGTGTTGCAATAGTTTTTTCCTGGTAAATAGTCTTCACATCTTTATGTCCTATCATTCTGAAATTTTTTAAAGAAGAAAAAAAGATTGTAGTTGAGAACGTACTTTTAACACATTTCTAGTTTAGTTTTATTTAGGTTCGGGACTTCTCTGGATTCTTTGGAGAGTAAAAGTAATCCACTGCCTAAATCTTTTGAAATCAAACCCCAACTTTCCACAGCTTTCAAGATGTCAGGTGACGCCATAATGGCGGAGTTTGGACCAGCAGCGTCCTTCCTGAGAAAATCCGACAAGGAGCGACTGGAGGCCCAAACGCGACCTTTTGACATGAAGAGGGCCTGTTTCGTGCCCGATCCCGAAGTGGAGTATGTTAAAGCCACAGTTACCAGCAGAGATGGGGACAAAGTCACCGTTGAAACTGAAACTGGAAAGGTAAGCAGGGCGCAAATGTACATTTGTAACCTGGAGAAATGGTTGTGGTTAAAAACAAAAAAAAACCCCAACAACTTTTAGTGGATCTTAAATGAATTTGAACAGAGATGTTTGCTGTGATGAATGTCTTACAGACTGTTACGGTTAAGGAGGTAGATGTCCACCCCCAGAACCCGCCAAAGTTCGATAAAATCGAAGACATGGCCATGTTCACCTTCCTCCATGAGCCCGCGGTGTTGTTTAACCTCAAAGAGCGTTACGCGGCATGGATGATCTATGTGAGCAATCGCTACAAACATCAACAAGCTGCTTGTTTTCAACTTTACGTTCCCAGTAAGTCATACGTTTGCTGTCCGTCTCTGGCGTCAGACCTACTCAGGGCTCTTCTGCGTGACCGTCAATCCTTACAAGTGGCTGCCGGTGTACGATAAATCGGTGGTTAACGCCTACAGAGGAAAGAAGAGGAGTGAAGCTCCTCCTCACATCTACTCCATCTCTGACAATGCCTACCAGTACATGTTGTCGGGTGAGTTCCAGCTAGAAAAGAATGTCAGAAATTATCCAGATATTAAAAGACAAATGGACTAACACAGATCTTGTTTGATATCGTAGACAGAGAAAACCAGTCAATCCTCATCACGTAAGTTATATATGGTACTCAAAGCTGCTGTGATTATATTTTCAAGCTGATTTCTTTAATCTTTACATCATATTTATTATATATGCTATATGATTTTCTCTGCCCAGTGGAGAATCTGGTGCAGGAAAGACTGTAAACACCAAAAGGGTCATCCAGTACTTTGCCAGCATTGCGGCTGTCTCTGGAAAGAAAGATCCAAATCAGGAGAAAAAGGTTGATATTATTCCTTCAATGTTATAAAGAATAAAAAAAACTAAAATCTACGGCTACAGTGATTAAACCTTGTACTTCCACACAGGGAACCCTGGAAGATCAAATCATCCAGGCCAATCCTGCTCTGGAGGCTTTTGGAAATGCCAAGACCATCCGAAATGACAACTCTTCCAGATTTGTATGAACATTTCCTCACTTCCTATTTTTTATTGCTGCATTTAGAGAGCCTGCAGAGTTAAACATCAAGTTGAAGAAATGACAGAGTATCATGAGTTGTGTGTGTGTGTGTGTGCGTGTGTGTGTGCGTGTGTGTGTGTGCGTGTGTGTGTGTGCGCGTGTGTGTGCGCGTGTGTGTGTGTGTGTGTTATTATATTTTACAGGGTAAATTCATTCGAATTCACTTTGGGGTGAGTGGAAAATTGGCCTCAGCTGACATTGAGACATGTGAGTCTGCTTTGATAAAAAGCTGTCCAACATTTTTCCATCATTTCTTTGAACGATTTTCTAGTAAAACCACGTCACTTTTGTGAAAGTCAATGACTACCTTCAGCTTTATATTCAGAAGAATACAAAGCTATTGACTAAAGTTTAGCTTGATCTCTTGTGGACACCCTAAATATAATCATAACATATTTCTTTTTTTAGATCTGTTGGAAAAATCTCGTGTCACTTATCAGCTCAAAGCTGAGAGAGACTATCACATCTTCTATCAGATTCTGTCCCAAAGGAAGCCAGAGCTGCTTGGTGAGCACACTGCAAACAAAGGCTATGCAAGTCTTATAAAACACCTCAGTCTTTATAACCGAACCTTTTCACTCCTTTAACAGAAATGCTGTTGATCACCAACAACCCCTATGACTACGCGTACATCTCTCAAGGAGAAACAACCGTAGCCTCCATCAACGATGCAGATGAGCTAATTGCTACTGATGTAAGTAAATGCAGTCTGTTGGCCGAAATCCCCCTGCACATAGTTTCCAAACTAAATCAAATTAAATTTTATTTGGTAATAGGAAGCTTTTGACGTCCTGGGATTCACCCAAGAGGAAAAGAATGGCATCTACAAGTTGACTGGAGCTATTATGCATTATGGAAATATGAAGTTCAAGCAGAAGCAGAGGGAAGAACAAGCAGAGCCCGACGGCACAGAGGGTAGGCAATGAGGCCGTCTGTTTGTACACTTTGACATCGTTGTAACTACAGAAACATTCTCTGATCCCATTGCAATAATAGCAATAATCTGACACAATAACCAATTTTAGATGTGGACAAAGTGGCATATCTTATGGGCCTGAACTCTGCTGACCTCATCAAGGGGCTCTGTCACCCGAGAGTTAAAGTAGGCAACGAGTGGGTCACCAAGGGCCAGAGTGTGCAGCAGGTAACCAAAACGCATCTATGTTTTGTGTGTGTATCAGCAGAATTGATAAATATCACGTTTAAATCAGTTTGCATCCATCCCATTTTTAGGTGTACTACTCTATCGGTGCTCTGGCAAAGTCAGTGTATGAGAAAATGTTCCTGTGGATGGTGGTGAGAATCAACCAGTCCCTGGATACCAAACAGCCTCGGCAGTACTTCATTGGGGTGTTGGACATCGCTGGATTTGAGATCTTTGATGTGAGAGTTTGTGGTTTCATGGGCAGCCGATCTGTAGGAGAAAAGATCTCACTCTGCATTTGCTTTTATGGCTTCTAGTTCAACACCTTTGAGCAACTGTGCATCAACTACACCAATGAGAAGCTGCAGCAGTTTTTCAACCACCACATGTTTGTGTTGGAGCAAGAGGAGTACAAGAAAGAGGGCATTGTGTGGGAGTTCATTGACTTTGGTATGGACTTGGCAGCCTGCATTGAACTCATTGAAAAGGTTTGTACATCATCCAGTCTAAGAGCATTCAAGACGTCATCTGAGGATTTATTCTCAGATCAGATGCTCATGTTCATGCTGTCATTTCTTTTCTGTGCATAGACATTAAGGGATGTTAAACTTGCAGAGTGTTTGATGTTTAATCTTTCGTGAATCTACCCTAACAGCCGATGGGCATCATGTCTATCCTTGAAGAGGAGTGTATGTTCCCAAAAGCCAGTGACACGACATTTAAGGCCAAACTGTATGACAACCATCTGGGTAAAAGCCCCAACTTCCAAAAGCCCAGAATCGTTAAAGGGAAACCAGAAGCTCATTTCTCTTTGATTCACTATGCTGGTACTGTTGATTACAACATCGGCAACTGGCTGGAGAAGAATAAAGATCCACTGAATGAGACTGTGGTTGGACTCTATCAGAAGTCTAACCTGAAGTTACTATCTATGCTGTTTGCTGGGTATGCTGGCACTGATTCAGGTGAGGCCTCTGTCACCTTACTGATTATTACTTCCATTGAATTTAAGCAGTAATTTTCAACTTTAATGTCTATAATGTTCATACAGCCCAAGATGCAGGAGGCAAAGGGGGAAAGGGAGGAAAGAAGAAAGGTTCTTCCTTCCAGACTGTGTCTGCTTTGCACAGGGTAGAGTACATATCACATTTTAGACATTTCCAATGCTAGGTATCCTGCATCCAATACCTTATTTATGCTGTACTTGCATTAACAGGAAAATCTGAACAAACTAATGACCAACCTCAGGTCAACTCACCCTCATTTTGTTCGCTGCATCATCCCCAATGAGACCAAGACTCCCGGGGCTATGGAGAACCCTCTGGTCATGCACCAACTGCGCTGTAACGGTGTGCTGGAAGGAATCAGAATCTGCAGAAAAGGATTCCCTAACAGGATTCAGTACGGCGATTTCAAGCAAAGGCAAGAAAAACTTATGTTATTTGCAAGATCCTTTCCAATTGGGTATAAATGATGTTCCAAAGCATGACACCTAATTTGTTGAAGTTGTCAAGTTTGATGGTTGAGGTCAGAAGTTGTCATTGTTGGTACTTTCTTTACAGCAATGTTGCTGATGCTTCTCTTGGGTTACCTGAAGGTTAATAAGACGAATATGCCAACAACCCTGAGAACTATAGAATTTCGCAGCTTACGATTTCATTTAGAAATTTTCATATTTACCTCCAAAAGTTGCGCCGTTTCAGATATCGCATCTTGAACCCGAGTGCCATCCCTGAAGGGCAGTTCATTGACAATAAAAAAGCAGCTGAGAAACTTTTGGGGTCTTTGGATATCGATCATGAGCAGTACAAGCTGGGACACACAAAGGTTGGTTCTGTATATTAAAAAACCATAAAGAGCAGATTGAGAAAAACATTTCCTGTCCTTTGACAAAATAAAATAAAATAAAATAAAATAAAATAAATCTGTCACTATCAGGTGTTCTTCAAAGCTGGGCTGCTGGGTGTACTGGAAGAGATGAGAGACGACCGTCTAGCTCTCATCATCACTGGGATTCAGGCGAGATCCAGAGGACTTCTTGCCAGGATTGAGTTCCAGAAAATTGTTGAACGCAGGTTGGAGTTCACTGCTTATTTTCACCGCAAAAAAACCAAAACAAAAAAAAAACAACATAATTCTAACAAAGAAAACTCAAACATCCTGATTTTCTCCACAGAGATGCCTTGTTGGTGATCCAGTGGAACATCCGTGCCTTCATGGGTGTGAAGAATTGGCCCTGGATGAAGATGTTCTTCAAGATCAAGCCTTTGCTTAAATCAGCTGAGACCGAGAAGGAGATGGCAAACATGAAAGAGGAGTTTACCAAGCTCAAGGAGGCCTACGCCAAATCCGAAGCCCGCAAGAAAGAGCTTGAGGAAAAGATGGTCACCCTTCTCCAAGAGAAGAATGATTTACAGCTCCAATTTCAATCTGTGGGCTGAGTACCTTATCTTAATTTTTAACAGTTGCATAGAGCTACTGTAGAATATAACACAAGCTTAATTCCCTCTGTGTAGGAGCAAGACAATCTTGCGGATGCCGAGGAGCGTTGTGAAGGTTTGATCAAGAGCAAAATCCAACTGGAGGCCAAAGTGAAAGAGCTGACAGAGCGGCTGGAGGATGAGGAGGAAATGAATGCAGAGCTGACAGCCAAAAAGAGGAAGCTTGAGGACGAATGTTCAGAGCTCAAGAAAGACATCGACGATCTGGAGCTGACTTTGGCTAAAGTGGAAAAGGAAAAACACGCCACTGAGAACAAGGTATACTTCATGCTAACTCGCTGGTCAAATTCTTGGCTTTGGGAATAATTCCCTTCTTCATGGTAGTATGTTGTGTGCTTCCTATAAGGTGAAAAACCTGACAGAAGAGATGGCAGCGTTGGATGAAATCATTGCCAAGTTGACCAAGGAAAAGAAAGCTCTTCAGGAGGCTCATCAGCAGACGCTGGATGACCTGCAGAGTGAGGAGGACAAAGTCAACTCTCTGACCAAGGCCAAAGTCAAGCTGGAACAGCAAGTCGATGATGTGAGTTCTTGCATTAAGAGAGAAGTACCTTGGATGGACTAGAGACAAATTAGTGAGCTAATTGTTTGGAATGATGCTTCAGCTTGAAGGATCCCTGGAGCAAGAGAAGAAAATAAGAATGGATCTGGAAAGAGCCAAGAGGAAGCTGGAAGGGGACTTGAAATTGACCCAAGAAAATGTGATGGACCTGGAGAACGACAAACAGCAGCTGGAGGAGAAGCTTAAAAAGTAAAATTTACAAATCAGCAGATGTGATTTTTATGACAGTTGTCTAAAGTAAAAGGTTTGTGCCTTTGAATGCAGGAAAGACTTTGAAATCAGCCAGCAACTCAGTAAGATTGAGGACGAGCAGGCGATGGGTGCTCAGCTTCAGAAAAAACTGAAGGAGTTGCAGGTAAGCGCGCCAGCAGACATGTTATGCTTCGTTTTCTCTTTATTAGCCGTGCCTCTAACAATGTCGGGCGACTTCCATCAAGGCCCGAATTGAAGAGCTGGAGGAAGAGCTGGAGGCCGAAAGGGCTGCCCGGGCCAAAGTGGAGAAGCAGAGAGCCGACTTGGCCAGGGAGCTGGAGGAGATCAGCGAGAGGCTGGAGGAGGCCGGAGGAGCCACCACAGCCCAGATCGAGCTGAACAAGAAGAGGGAGGCTGAGTTTCAGAAGATGCGCAGAGACCTCGAAGAGGCCACCCTGCAGCACGAAGCCACCACGGCGGCGCTGAGGAAGAAGAACGCCGACAGTGTGGCCGACCTGGGAGAGCAGATTGACAACCTGCAGAGGGTCAAGCAGAAGCTGGAGAAGGAGAAGAGCGAGCTCAAGCTGGAGCTGGATGATGTGGTCTCCAACATGGAGCAAATCGCCAAAGTGAAAGTAAGACACTCCTAGAAAAAATATAAGACTAATAAAACATTTATTTTATTCGTTTGTAATAAAATAAATGTGCACATGTGTGTGTAAAAGTGATAGGAAAACCTCAATTTCAGTGTTGGTGATTTAGAAACTCTTTAGAAAAGACATTGTTCCAGGAAACACTAAAGGACCTTTACATGAAGAAACTGGTCTATGCTTTCTAGTCTACTAGTTTCCCCAGTGTGATTTGTATTGGATTAGCTCGTTCCACATTGTTCATACACATACTGTGGCTTCAAGCCTGCAACAAAATATTTCTATACATCTTTACTAAATTGCATGTTCATGCTACTTTACAGAGATACGAGTCAGAAGCTTAACGCTATATACTTTTTATATTGAGTATTTTTGCATCTTCAGTGAAAGTAGTCTTTAGTTTAGTGCCTGCTGACATTTTGAAGAAAACTCCCATATACTAAGCTAACAGTCATTAGCACCATGTTTATGTTACTTATAGCAACACAAAGAGCCCCCGTCCCTCTCAAAAGTGTAAACATTAAAAATGTACCGAATCCCAACTGTTGCCAAACAGATGATTTAAGAGAATCTGGGGCACCTAATGTTACAGCTTCATTGGGCAGAACCATACGTAGCAGTCTCCTCAACAAGAAATATTGTGATGTTTCAATTACCTCAACATCTTGTGAGATGAGATCTTGTTACAACCTAGTAAACATGGAAATCAATCGGTTGCACGTTTTCTTCAAACATGCTAAATTTGACACCTTGTTAATCTTTTTCTTTAGACCAACCTGGAGAAAATGTGCCGTACCCTGGAGGACCAGATGTCTGAGTACAGAACAAAGTCAGAGGAGGCCCAGCGCTCCATTAATGATTTCACCATGCAAAAAGCAAAGCTGCAAACTGAAAATGGTAACAAAATACACTCATGCTGAAATAAAATCACCATTTTATTTCACCATTTCATGACATCGAAAAACCACAGGACAATCTGCGGACCGAGCCTTTGTTTTACAGGGGAGCTTCTGCGGCAGATGGAGGAAAAGGACTCTTTGGTCTCGCAGCTGACCCGAGGGAAGCTGTCCTACACTCAGCAGGTTGAAGACCTCAAGAGACAGCTGGAGGAGGAGGTGAAGGTAGGCTACGGTTTCAAGAAGTTCTGCTTTTACTACAAAAAAAAAAAAAAAAAAAAATCTCTCCCAGCAAGACAACTTTATTTTATTCCAATTTCTTAAAGGCCAAGAATGCACTTGCCCATGCAGTGCAGTCTGCTCGCCATGACTGCGATCTGTTGAGAGAGCAGTTTGAGGAGGAGCAGGAGGCCAAAGCCGAGTTCCAGCGCAGCTTGTCCAAGGCCAACTCCGAGGTGGCTCAGTGGAGAACCAAGTATGAAACTGATGCCATCCAAAGAACCGAGGAGCTGGAAGAAGCAAAGTAAGGACTTCAGAACAATTCCCTTCTCTTTTGTTTTGCCTGAGCTGTGATTGCTTTATTATGTTTGTTTTTGCCTTTAGAAAGAAGCTAGCTCAACGCTTGCAGGAGGCCGAGGAAGCTGTTGAAGCTGCAAACGCTAAATGCTCCTCCCTGGAGAAAACCAAACACAGGCTTCAAGGGGAAATCGAGGATCTCATGGTGGATGTGGAGAGATCTAATGCGGCTGCTGCAGCTTTGGACAAGAAGCAAAGAAACTTTGACAAGGTGCTGACACGTTGCAGATACGCAGAGTCCTTTTGGGGGGAAAAGGAAGGCTTGTTGAGAAAATTTGTTACGTGAAATTCTCGCAGGTCCTTGCTGAGTGGAAGCAGAAGTACGAGGAGTCTCAGACGGAGCTGGAAAGTTCTCAGAAAGAGGCACGTTCCCTCAGCACTGAGCTGTTCAAGCTCAAGAACTCCTACGAAGAGTCTCTGGATCATCTGGAGACCATGAAACGCGAAAACAAGAACCTTCAAGGCACGTAGAACTCATTGTTCAAGTTTCACAATACACACGATATGGTTGAATGATAGAAAACGGAATAATTCTGCCTAAAACAGAGGAAATTTCTGACCTAACTGAGCAACTTGGTGAGGGAGGAAAGAGTATCCATGAGCTGGAGAAGATCCGCAAGCAGCTGGAGCAGGAGAAAGCCGAGATACAAACGGCTCTGGAAGAAGCCGAGGTGATTAAAATGTCGGATACGTCACACATTCACCTTTGTGACCTTTGATGCTTTGAGGGGAAACCCAGCCGCTTTCTGTTTTTTGCACCAGGGTTCCCTTGAACACGAGGAGGGTAAGATCCTCCGAACGCAACTAGAGTTCAATCAGGTGAAGGCGGACATCGAGCGCAAGCTGGCCGAGAAGGATGAGGAGATGGAGCAGGCCAAGAGGAACCAGCAGAGGACAGTGGACACCCTGCAGGGCTCCCTGGAGGCGGAGACTCGCAGCAGAAACGAGGCTCTCAGGCTGAAGAAGAAGATGGAAGGAGATCTCAACGAGATGGAGATCCAGCTGAGCCAGGCCAACAGGCAAGCGGCAGAGGCTCAGAAGCAGCTCAAAGGAGTCCATGCCCACCTAAAGGTCACAGACCCAACATCACAGACGCTTCGATTTTCCATTCCATGCTCATCACTTGTCAATGGAAGGTAAACCGAATCTACATATTGTTTGTCGTAACAGGACTCGCAGCTACATCTGGACGATGCACTTCGGTCCAACGACGACCTTAAGGAGAACATCGCGATTGTGGAGAGACGCAACAACTTGCTGCAGGCGGAGCTCGACGAGCTGAGGTCTCTGGTGGAGCAAACCGAGAGAGGGCGCAAGCTGGCGGAGCAGGAACTGCTGGATGTCAGCGAGAGAGTTCAGCTGCTGCACTCACAGGTACACCAGCCAGCAAATGTCCAGTCCGTACCCATGTTGGTACGAGGGACGCTTCACAACTCGGCTCCTCCTTTAGGGTGGAACAGCGCACGAGGGATAATGAGAAGTTGAACAAAAGTTTATAGGCAGTTGCACAAGTGAACAAGTTTTCTGTTGCTTACTTGCATGTTGAGTGAACATGGAGCCGCTCCCACTCCTGTGTTGACTGGAGTCTAGCTCTGCACCGAACTGGCTTATCACACTCTGCTTCAAGGCTCATGATTCGCTGCTAAACTTAAGAGCTACTTCTTTTTCCTGCATTTTTATCATTTTAAAATTTCTGATTTTCATTTCTGACTGATTTTCTCTACACTCTTCACTTCATTCTTTGGAACACAATGTGAGATTACTCAACCTCCAAACAATTCAAATCTGAAACACACCCCAAAAAAGCCCTTCTACCTGCCTGTATGGCTTTGCAATGTTTTTTTTTTCTTTTTTATAAATGTTCATTTTCAATCTGTTTTAACAATTTTTTTAATGTTACCAGTCAGTCAAGACATGCTATTGGCGAGCTAACGCTCTGTCTTGATCTCCCAGAACACCAGCCTGCTGAACCAGAAGAAGAAGCTGGAGGGAGACATCGCCCAGATTCAGAATGAGGTGGAGGAGGCCGTGCAGGAGTGCAGAAACGCCGAGGAGAAGGCCAAGAAGGCCATCACCGACGCAGCCATGATGGCAGAGGAGCTGAAGAAGGAGCAGGACACCTGCTCCCACTTGGAGCGCATGAAGAAAAACATGGAGCAAACCATCAAGGACCTGCAGCACCGCCTGGACGAAGCGGAGCAAATAGCGATGAAGGGCGGCAAGAAGCAGGTCCAGAAGCTGGAGGCCAGGGTAAACTGTCGCCATCCGTCACAGTGCTGCTGGAAATTACAGCACCTTTTACATTTATAAATGCAACCTCTTTTTTTTTTTTTCCCCTTCCCCCTTCATTTCAAGATCAGAGAGCTGGAAAACGAGATCGACGTGGAACAAAGAAAGAGCAGTGACTCTATCAAAGGGGTCCGCAAATATGAGAGACGCATCAAGGAGCTCACCTACCAGGTCAACCCCGCCGCCACACTGCAAAAACTAGTTTCTACCACAAATTGTATGCTTTAACTAAGACAAAACCAACTTTAAAGTAGCTTTTCAGAATGATATGGGAGCTTGTTTTAAGTCAATAATTCCTTAATGTCGATGAAAAATGTCCTGGTTCCACTGATAAGTTATTTCACTTGTAACATGGGAAAAATGTCTTGCTATAACTTCTTCATCAACATTAAGGACTTACTGACTTAAAACAAGCTCCCACATATCACTGACAAGTTACTTGTTGGTCAGTTTTGTCGCATTTAAAGTGTACTAAGATATTTGCACTAGAAATTAGAGCAAAAACACTAAGATTTTGCGTTCATGCTCAGTAAGCAACATACTCTGCTGACTGAACAGACGGAGGAGGACAAAAAGAACCTGGCCCGTCTGCAGGATCTGGTGGATAAACTTCAGATGAAAGTGAAATCCTACAAGCGGAGCGCGGAGGAGGCCGTAAGCTGGAACGCTTCGGTTTTGGTCGCCTTCATACGTTAACATCGCCGATCCTGATTTTATTTTATTTTTTCAGGAGGAACAGTCCAACGTGAATCTGAGCAAGCTGCGCAGGCTGCAGCACGAGCTGGAGGAGGCGGAGGAGAGGGCCGACATCGCAGAGTCTCAAGTCAACAAGCTGCGAGTGAAGAGCCGAGACGCCGGAGCTAAGGTGCGGAGACAAACGTGTCAAGGTTTCAACATTTGCTGCTCTAAATCATTTTGCAAAAGGATGACGTCTTCTGTCTGTTTTTTATTCCCCCCCCCAGAAATCGCATGATGAAGAATGAAGCCACTGCCGAGGCTCCTCTGCGTGCCTGTAGTTTAGTCGTAGTCTTGTAGTTCTTTGTCCTCCATGCAACATGAGCGGAAAAAAGAATAAATGAATTATGCATGCACCTGCACCACCAGTCTCAGTGGTTTAATTTAACTCCATCAGCTGATTACAGCAACACTTAAAATACATTTTGCAAAAACCAGGATGTCTTTACTACCAGTACAAAACTGCTGAATGTTTTCTTCTTTTTTTTTCTGGATGACAAAAAAAAAAAGAAAAGAAGTAGCCTTGGCTTTGATTGTCAGAATTGTGCTTCTCGCAGCATGCGGCTCTGATGTGCTGCTGACATGAGCAGCTGAGTGTGCAGCTGGGGATGGGCTGTAGGAGGACGACTGCAGGCGGCTCGGTTCAGGCAGGAGGACGGAACAGATGAATCGGGGTTCTGAGTCGTCTCGGGCCTCGCTCTGGTTTGGTCGGAGCCAGGAAACCAATCCATTTAAATCGGGGTTGAATTAAAGTGGAAGCTACGTGTTGCATCTTTCATTAAATGACATTAATACCCCTGTTGAGTGTGTGTAAACTTTTGACTGGGGCAGTAATGTGAAACATTTAGACGTCGTTGCTGCTATAATGTTCTGATTAAACAGCAAAAAAAAACAAAAAACAGATACTGTTAGTCCACTAGAGGGCAGCATTGGTATTGAAACAAATAAGCTTCCCTTATTTGTTTCAATAAGTGCATCACAATGATACGTAAAGTTTTTTTCTTTCAAAGTAAAATTTCCAAGTATTTTTTTCCCCCCACTAGCTGTTAAGTCCTTATGTTTTGAAAAAGCCCCTTTAGGGAAATTATTGTAAATAAACTTTGCCATACTGATGGGTCAACCATCTATCAAAGTTATAATATATTGAGTCTGATTAAACTATATCTTTGTTCATTTTTATTACTTAAACTGCTCTATTTCCAGTTTCCCACACCTCATCATGCTCATAAATAGATAAAGGAGAGTCAGCAGCCTAACAGCCACGTTATAAAATGCTAAAAGTAAATCCTTTAAAATTGCTAATCTAACCTAAAGATCATGTTACAAGGCAATCTTTTTTTTCTGCTTTACGTAAAAAAAAAGAAAAGAAAAAAAAAAAACAAATACGATGGTACGTGTCTAGGGTGTTTGTTTATTGTGGCAACAGTGACGTTACGGTTCAATCACGGTGACATCTCAAAGTCCAAGCTTTCTTTTATAACTCTATAGAACCACTCCCAATAAAATAAACAGTGTCAGTGTGTTTAACGCCTCTCTCCTTTATCATGTTGCATAATAAATGATTTGCCATTTTTTTATCAGCTACTCTGACCTATTGATATCAACAGTTCACTGATTGTGCTGGAGGAAGATTTCTGACGGGGTTAACTGATGAAACCATTTGGTGCATAACCAGTTTTTCCACTTTAAGCTACATATAACAGATTCTCATATTTGAGCCAGACTTTGTGTAACTGGTCTTTTAATTTTCTTTTTTAATTTTTGAATATTTGCTACCAATTTACTGTTCCCCCTGTTGACCTTAAAGTAGGCAAAAAAAAAAAAAATATATATATATATATATAAACAGCTAAACTTAATTTTTATCAAAGTGAAAACATTGCATTACATTTTAAATATGGCCAATATTAAACATGAAATGCACTGTAAGGATGGAATATTTGATAGGCTTTAGTATTTCAGGTGCAGTGCTTGGTAATAAAATATTTTGCCACTTTGATGGACTTATGCTATAGTCCTCCTCACAGTGAAAATAGGTAGTGATCAAGATGCAAATCATGAGGTTGCACCACAATTTCCGGCAGGCCTCGGAAGAATCTTTCCTAAAATTGTATCTTTTAGCACTTTGTTTCTAGCAGCAAAAATTAACACCGAAATGCCTGAGATGCCAAAGTCTGACACGTAGTTATTTTATCATCAACAAGATGATTCCTGAAGAGGTGTAAAATGGAATAAAACAAAGAGCAGTGTAATAATCACCTGAAGGGATCATGACTAAAGAAATGGCAGCACATGAAGTCCCCAAAAAAAAAAAAAAAAACCCATTGGGAAATGGCAAAAAACCTTGGAAAACTGTCCTCCCCAAAAAT